TCTTCTCTGTACTCTTTCTAGAGTCTCAACATCTTTTTTACATTGTGGTGACCAAAACTGGATGCAGTATTCCAAGTGTGGCCTTACCAAGGCATTGTAAAGTGGTATTAATACTTCACGTGATCTTGATTCTATCCCTCTGTTAATGCAGCCTAGCACTGTGTTGGCCTTTTTGGCAGCTGCAGCAATCTGCTGGCTCATATTTAAGCAATTGTCCACTAGGACTCCGAGGTCTCACAGTTACTACCACTGAAACTATCAAGAAAATAAAATAGTAAATATGGCTGTAAATAATTTACTCCCATTCCTTCCTGGCAAAAACCTCTTGCCTCTTCATACTGCTTCATGCATTGTCTTTTGCCTTTTATATGTTCGCTTTTTTCCCTTTTGGAAAAGCCTATCATATGTTTATCCTTCTTCTCAATTGTTTATACTATATAATTGATTTATGATATCAATATTCATTCTTTCTACATGATCAAATCACCTATATATTTTTCTTTCATAATAGTCATTCACATTTGTATTCAGTCCACATTCACTCATTTTTAATGATCTCACTTATTTTATCACACATACTTAAATAACCTATTCCCATAGCATTTATTGTAGTTTTATGTTTCACAGACATTGCTAATGCACACTTCTGTATGTTAAATGGATAGAAGCACGTATAGTCATTTTCCCAGCAGACAAGATAGTACCCACTACTTTTCTATGAGTATTTGAATGCCTTAAAATTTCTTGATTTGTTCCCATGTTTACCAAGTAGTTTAACAAGATATAAAAATGTATATATTTGCTGTTGTTTGGGATATTTATATGTACATTGCAGTTTGCAGTTCATATTTCTTGACAAATGTAACAATCTTGATTTTTGATAATTAATTTAGCTATACATATTATTTACTGAGTTGTACAATCTAATACACATGTATTAAACAACCAAGGGTATGTTATATTTCTTTGTACTTCCTGTTCACCATTGAATCATTTGCAAGGCTGATGTTTTTCATTAATATTTTTAAGTATGTTTAAGAACCAGAATTTCATGATAAGCAAAGTAAAATACAGAGTGTAGACATTTTGTATTATTTTATTCTTTTTCATATATTGCTAAATATTCATAGTATAATATAAAATTAATGTGAAAGTTATTTTTCTGGAGATATGGTATTCTATATTATGTTGTATTCCCCTAGCTGCTTCAATAGATATGAATAAAATCCTTTTATTCCCAATTGTGGGAGAAAGACCTTCTTCCCCAGTTTGTATGAAAAATGCAGAGCAGTCCAAATATGAATAATAATTAAATGTAACTGTTTCACTCTGGTAGAAACAAAAACTTTTCCGGCACTTTTATTGCTATTGCAGATGCATTAATGGACTTTCATGAGGAGGATTTTACTAGGTATTTATGATTGTTACAATCTCTGCTTATAATCCCAGCATACCATCAAGGCAATCACAGAAACATCAGCAGAGGCACTTTGAAATAATTCATTATCACTTATTGAAAAATGTAACATTTCTTTGGAAAAAAAAACCTTTGCACATCCCAAACCAAAATATTCATCAGTCAAGCTCATAATCAAATGGGAAATGTCATTGCAATCCATAGTAGTAAAAAAACACTCTGCCAGTTGAAAATTGCTCAGTTGATTGATTTGAATTTAGTTGCTGCTAAAGTCTAAGGGACCCTGGATCTAAAGATGAGGTCTCAGAAATAAGAACTACTGAAATGAGCCTATTTAACAAATCCCTAACAGTGTTTACAAGTGTGTACTCCATAACATTGCATGCATGAAAACTGTAATGTTTATTTTAAAAACATTAATATTAGAATTTAACAAAAATTAAAAAATAAAACAGAGAGCTGATTACATTTTGTAGAAATTCATGGTGTGGTTGGTAATTCAACATCTATTTTGGCATTCAGTGCCTGTATTTCTAGAAATGTTGCTATTTTTTTGGCATTCAAAGATAATGCATAAATCCTGTTAAATGAAATCAAAGATTCACCAAGTTGAGAAAGTGAGGTACTTTTGAGCTATCAAAAGTAAGGATTGCCAATTCCCAAAAAATATTTTTTAAAAATAATATTTAATGTAATCATGAGCTACATATTCATTGTAAACTTAATTTCTAACTTAGTCTAACCCTTTTGGCATGCATTGTTGCTCCAGATACTTTGTCTTTTAGAATGACTTTCTGAACTGTGAAAAATGCATCCATCAAAAATTGAAAGCTTCTGTCTTTTACCACTTCTTAAAATTATAAACACTCAAAAGAATGGTAATCTTAACATGCTATTCAGTTAATTACTACTCATCATACATTTTTTATCTATTTCAGCAAAACCCATAATATGACAAAGCTAATGGAAAATAAAGGCAGAGATAGGGTGAAATGGTGGAAAGCTGATTTCTTTCGCAAATATGATGTTTAATAGGTCTCACGGTTGTCATTTTACAAGAGTTTTATGGAGGAAAACAGGAGACTTGGACATAATAGTCTGGAATAAATATCCAGATGCTTTAATGCAGCAGTCTCCAACCTTTGCTGGGGGCAGGGGAGAGCGCATCCAACTCATGCAAGAGAGAAGCCTTTGGGGCGTGGTCTCGTGCTTCTTCAGGCTTCTCATGCCAAAAGCTTTTGCAAAGGGACTGAAGGCCTGAAGCAGCGCGAGATCCCTCTCCCGAAGCCTTTTGTGCATTTGCAAAAGCTTTGGCGAGGAGAAGAAAAGCCTTTGGGGGCACGGCCTCATGTTCCTTCAGACCAACCAAGGCTGCCTGACGCTCCAAAAGAGGATCGGTTGTCCTGCACAGGCAGCCTCATGGAGTCAGCAAAGCTGAGCAGGGAGTGCTTGTTCCACTCAATCTTTGCTCTCATCGCTCCGCTTTGGGAGCATCAGGAGCAGGTGGCTTGGCTGCCCGCCTGGGGGGGGAGAGGGGAACCAGGCCTCCACTCGCACAAGAGAGAAACCTTTGGGGTGCTGCTTGCGCAAGTGGAGCTGCATGTGTCTGCCAGCCCACTGCTCGCGCGGCCCGGTTCCAAATAGGGCATGGCCTGGTAGTGGGCCACAGTCCGGGGGTTGGGGACTCCTGCTTTAATGTGTTCCTGACTTTTTTCATTATAGAATGCATTCGACTCATCTTTTACCAAGGTAACTTAGAGAAGAGTCTAATTTAAATATATAAATCTTAAATGATGACACAAAAGAGATAACTGCTTATAACATGACTGTTCCAAATAAACAATCATAATTTAGTGGTACCTGCAGATTATGGATACCGGCTCTTTAAAAAGCTGCTCAATAAAATCAAGTATTTTGTGGTCATATATCAGGTAGCAGCAATTAATTAGTCATGCAATTTTATCTATAAAGCTAATTGGACTAAAGTATCTGAGCTTATATTAATAGTGTTATATAGCATGCCACTAACTTTGCACCTCTGGCATTCTATCTGTATTCCCTGAGGCCTATTGTCTGTTTCACAAACCAATCTTTCCCTTTTGGTTTTACTGTCAATATGTTTCTAGAGCTGTTAATTTTCCTCATGACTCTTACGTTTCTTCACTATTTCAACTGCAAATTCTGGCTATGAGCAATTATGTTACTAATTTTCGGGCTCCTTTCCTTCCATTTAAAAGCCATCCATTCATGCATTCCTTCATATTCTTCAGTTTATCATTTTCAGTTCATTAGTTTCCATATCACACTGTTATATTATTTTATTTCAATTTTTCACTCCTTTTCTCATATCTCTTGTCATACCTTTTCTCACATTTTAAACCAGCTATTCCCTTTTTATTAGGAAAATTCCTTTCAAGAGTTGGAATCCATCTTTCTTAATTTCTTAGTACAGAAAAATATTAATCTGTACTTCTAAAACCTTACATTGGACTACACTCCATGGAATTAAGAGGGGGACATACTTCAGAATAAGTTATAAATTATGATATTAGAAATAGTAGCTGCCATAATTCAGAGGCCAGTTCCTCAAGTCTTCATGCCCTTTTTATATTTCTGAAATTTAATTATCCTTTCCACCGGTCACTAATTTTGAGAAGTTTCAGAACTATTATCCCAGTGTTTAATCATAATACTAATACCTTTATTTTGAAAACAGCATGCAGTTTACTGAGAGGAGATAAGTGTCAAATTGATAACTTCAGGCAATATCAGATTATGCTACCAATTCATAATCTGATAAATAGCCTTTTAATATAAAAGGTGAAGAACTGGACTATCCGCACTATCTGATTTTACCATTTTATTTTACTTTTCTTTTGCAACAATAAAAATGCATTCCTTACCACTTATGTGAGATGTTGATGAAGGTTCTTTCTCATTTTCCTTACTGATGCTGGGAGTGTTCTTCTTTTCAAGCAATCTGTCCACCATTGCAATGATGCAGTTTAAACTCTTCCCTACATTGGCCCACACCCTATCCTGAAAAAAATATCAGTATCATTACTCAGTATTAACAGTTGCATGAAAAAGTATAATTGCTTAGTTTATAGTGGTATATTATAGAACAAGTGAAATGAAAGAAATATACCAAAGAACAGAGTCCCCCATTTAATCAATCTTAAATAGATCTTTACTGCTATTTTTAAATAATAATTCTAGAATAAAAATATTACATAATTTAAGATGGTGCTATAGGGTAAGAACAGGCAAAGCTGTGGGTGGAGTTAAACACATCACAATAGAGTCTTTGCATTGCCATAAGACATTCAAGTCTAGTCTCATTTGAATTCCACTGACCCTTATCTAGCACCAAATTAGTGTTAAACTTTAGTTGATCAGATTCTTGTGGATAGACTTGAATAAATCTTCCATGCTTCAACCTTACAAATGATCCTGATTCTTTGTGTCTATACTGCTATATTAATATACATTAGTACTGTATTAAAGCATTTTGGCATAGATCTTCTTGAGTTCAGCTTTTACAAGTTTAAGTTAAATTATGTAAGTTGTTTCCTATATCTTTATGCAGTTCCAATCATTCATTACAAGATTACACTGGAATCATAAACATGATCTATATTTAGACAATTGTAACTTTCCTCTAAACGAACTACATGTGCATAACAAACTTATAGAACTGACCACAAAGCTTTACTCAATACTAAACATTTCTGTGTGAACATGGTATTTTATGCATGCATACACATTTTGCTTATGTGAATATACACACATAATCGCGCACGCACGCGCACACACACACACACACCAATTGTTTTCTAGGAGCTTACAGCTAAAATTACAAAAGGCAATTAGAATTTTACAAGCCCAATAAACATATTTATCCCATTTTCAGGTAAGCAAAGAATACAGTTTTAATGCCTGGAAATGGGATGTGACAGATTTTAACTGCAGAAGAGTTGCATTATGGAAGCCAGTTTGGTGCAATGGCCAAGATGCTGATCTAGAAACCAAGAGACTGTGGATTCTAGACATGAAACTAGCTGGGTGGTTTTGGACCAGTCACTCTCAGCCCAACCCAGCTGACAGGGTTGTTGCTGTGGGGAAAATAGGAGGCATTAATATTAAGTATGTTCGCCGCCATGAGCTGACCAAATAGATATCCAGTAGATATAAATACAGATTTTGATATACTGGATAAAAGTATCATCTTATAAACAGCAGCAGCATGTGAGTGTCCTTTAACTGAAAGAACCGTTGTGGCTGAAAGTAGCAATGCAATTAGATTGTTCATTACTATTGTTTCTTATACAGTAAATCAATAAGTTTTTCAGCAAAAATGTAAACAGGCACATGTAATACTTCTTGGCATAGGTGCCTTAAAAGAGATTCAGGGTTAACTAGAATTTGTTAATTGTTCTCTAACCTACAAAGATCTCATTTGAGAATGTTCTGTATGATCATATGTAGAAAACTTAATTTTATAGTATTCTCACAGCACCATCCATTTGTTGCTGAGATAAGATGAGATATGTTAGAGGTATTTGGCCGGTTCTATAAGTGACTGAATTTCTGTTCTATTTACATATCAGGATATCTACATGATTAACTCTTTCTATCCACAAAGAATTAAAAGAAAGAAGGCAGCAATTATTTAAGGTGAAACTGGAATATTTCTATTTTTTATAACTTTTATTAATTTTAAAAAATTATAATCTTTAGAGCTTGGTAAACAACATGTTGTCTGGGTTCACATTTTGAACATTAACTTCTTCAATATAAATTTATTCAGTACTGCACAATCCAGAATTTTTTCCTTGATCTTCCTTTCTTCCCCATATTTTTCCTTTCCCCCCTCATTAAACAATTACAATTCTTAGTACTGTTGATGTATACAAAATTAGATATAAACATCTTCGTCATATTTTACTATTATAGAAATAACAATAATATCAATTCACGTCAATATCCTGTTTTTGTGCTCTTATTAAGTTTGATTTCCCATCAATATTTAAAGTATCTTTGTCAGTTATGATTTTCTCAATATTTATTACATTTATATAGCTAAAATAATTATTCATACCAATCCTCTTATTTTCAAATTTCCCATATCAAAAAAAGAAGAAAAATGCTATTTTAGTTCTAAATCATATCTTCCATTATAAAAATCTAGTTATATCTAAGGGTCATCCGTTCTTTTAATCATATTCAAACAGGTATATTAAACAGATAGTGCCCCCTATGATAAATCAAATCCATTATTTTTTTAAGTCTAACTATCGCTTTCTTTTTTCGCCAAGCAGCTTTCCAGACCAAGGAAATTAAATCGCCCAAGAATTTTCTTTCTATTTTTGTGAAAGCTGCTTGGCATGAGAAAGACAATTTAGGTAGAGTATTTTTGGTGGGGAACTCCGTCCATCTACATTCCCTAGATCAGGGGTTCCCAACCCCCAGTCTGTGGACTGGTACCGGGCTGCAACATACCAGCAACCGGTCTGCACAAACAAGCAAAGCCCCATCTGCGAGATGCAGGCAGTATACAAAACCATGCCCCCTCCAGTCCACAGAAAAACCTTTCTCCATGGAACCGGTCCCTGGTGCCCAAAAGATGAGGGACCTCTGCCCTAGACATTTCCCTTGCCCGCTCTATGTTCCATTTTCTAGAATCTTCTTCCTTGTCATCAGGTGTATTTTGGAGAAATGAGTAAAGAGTCTTTTGTATTTTCATTGTTATAGGTAGGTCTTGCAGTATTTTGTGTATGGCAGTCCATATTTCCCGTCTCCTATCTCCTCCATCTCTAAGTCCATTTCTTCTGCTTCACCCTCTGATTTCTGGTTTATTTGTTCATACTTTGTAGTTGTTGTCTGGGAGCTTTCCAGTTGTAGCTTTAATTTGGAGATTTGGTCCTTTATATCATCTAGGTTATTTTTAGTCTCATTATGGTTTCTTTTTATGTCCTCTTTGTGTGCAACAATTGTTTGATGAATTTGCTGTAAATAGAAAGTATTTCCTTCTGAAAGGTGTTTGTCTTTTCTTGAGTATCCTCTAGTATCACCAGTCTCAGCAAGAGTGGAACAAAATTTCCTCTAGTTTTCTGGTCTTTGTATATAGCCTTTATAATCCAGTCCTAATAGCAATATTTTATAGTAATCCTTTGTCTCAAGTATTCTGAAAGTTATCAGTCAGGCCAGGTTGTAATCCACAATGTTTCAAGTATTCAAAATGTTCAACTTCCCTGAAGCCAGACGAATTCAAAAGTCAAATTTTTCTTTCTCTTCCACTAGCTCTTGAGATTAAAAGTCCAAGCTCAGTAGGTATTTATAGTCCAAGAAAGTCAGGATGATAAATATGGCAAAATATTTTCCTTTACTGCCAGCTGTTCTCCCAAGCTGAAAGTCACCAAGCAGCCAAGAAGCTAGTTACAGTGCTGTACTCAAATCCACCATTAGATGTCAATCAAAATCCATTTTCCACTCTTAAAACAAAGGGTTGATTTCTTATATTTCTTATATTTCACCTCAATAATTTTTTTCCAAAGAGAAAATCTTAACAATTATTTCAGTGCTTAGATTTATCAAAACTATAGTTTTGTATTACTTTCATTTCAATATTGTGTATTTCTGTCCCCATAAAATTTAAAACACCACTTCCGTTCACATCAAGAGGTTTTAAGCTTCTTGAGAGCCTTTCCCAGGAAATTCAGTTGTAAAATAGTAAAGAAAGGATCAATATTCTCACCCAGTCCCAACATGCAGTTTACGATGCTAATTAAAGCTTTTGTTCTTCGGTTATCAGCAGCTAATGGCCAGCCACAGAGGTGTGGCCGGTCTTTCTCCTGCCGGTTTAGAGGGCTTTCCTTGGATTGAATGGAGAGACCACTGCCTCTCCATGATTGACAAGGCACCCCTTCTTCTTCATTGCCTCTTTGGGACGACTTTAGGCCCTTTTCAGGGGGCCCAGCAGGACGAATCGGGTGTGGAAAGCAGAGCTCTGCCTTCCTGCGTCCCGTCTCACCGTGACGCAAAACTGGAAGGCCGAAACTGGAATATTTTTAAATGGACACACTGGATGGGCTGTTTAGTCAGGCATAAAAGGAAAATTAATGAATGATGAAAATGTAAAAAACAAACAAATAGGAAAAGAACCATGTTTGGTGCTGATGATGAATAGTTTATTGTCTTTGAATGATTACACAATGCTGTATTATCCATTTGAAATTAATTCTAGTGTTTCTTCTGGCTGGCTAAAACAAAGTCACCTATTTTCCAGATTATTCTAAGAATATGCTAAGTCAACTCAGACCTCACTAACATTTTTTTAGGAATTAAAGAAAGGTCTTTGAAGAAATATTATTTTAGTTGAAATGTTTTGACTGTACAGAGGATAAAAACCAGGCTATATGATCAAAAATTCAGTTCTATCATTTTTGGTTTTTAATGAAAAACCAGTACATTTGCAGCTGAAATGATGATGATGATGATGGCAATGATGATCAGTAACTTTCAGCAATATGTTTCCATATTGTATTTAGTAATTGCATATAAGTCTGAGAACAGACTTATATATAAAGATGGTAAAACTAAACATAAACTTAAGATTAATTTATATTTTATTTCTGAAATGCAACAGCTAAAATATATCTTTAAGTTTCCACATTAAGTTTCTCTTTAATTAAAAAAATTCACAAAGTTTAAATGCTTCAAATTGTAAATGTTAATGAGATGAATTGGTCCCTCAAAAGTATTAGTACTAATTAGAACAAATAATGCTTCTAGAGCATTTAAGTATTAAAAGTGGCATTTTTATCATCCTAGGGCTGTAATGGTGTTATGAAAATTGGCTTACCAGATCTACGGTGCTGTTTCAAACAGATGGTAGCAAAAATTCAGAGAACTACATAACAGTTTTAAATCCTGTCATCTAAACATGGTGATCCTAATTAAGTGTACCTTTGTACCAATAAAGAAACATTTTTGTAGCTCAGGATTGAAATGAGAGAACCTTGGTACTCCTTGAGCTT